TCTCTCTCTCTCTCTCTCTCTCTCACACACACACACACACACACACACACACACACACACACACACGCACACACACACACATACACACACGGTGCGCGCGTGCACACGCCCACACACTGTGTTTTCGTGCGTGTGTGTGTGTGTGTGCTTGCATACATTCTTTTGTTCGTGCGTGCATGCGTGGGTGGATTTTCATGTTCGTTATACACAGCACAAAAAGAGTGTAGCTGACCTAGACTGTTTCGTTGGAATTTCACCGACTCATCAGGAGGTTGAACCCCGACAATCTGCCCAGGATGCATTCACACGCTTGCGTGTGCGCATGCGCCTGTGCGATGCCACATTCACTACACAACTCCACAAAAGCAGGCATGCCTGAGAGAGAGAGGGCGGGAGGCAGGGAGAGAGAGGGTGTCTTCGACCGTAAGCAACAGCTGTCAGTCGCACGACGGGGCTGAACAATGGAGAGTGTCGAGGAGCGTGCACGCATAAAATCGTTTGTGGGCTTCGCTAGGTCCAGTGGAGGTGTTGGACTGAGTATAGTGAGCGCACCGCCTTGCAATGGGCCAATGGCCAGCAGGTGTCAGGGCGGTTCTTTTTCGACGACCCCTCTTTTTCAATGTGTGCAACAATCCAGGCCGCCCGCGGTCCCACCGGGACGATGATCCGGATTTTCACACGATCCTACGACTTCAAGATCGCGCGGCATGGCGGACAGCCTAGATCGCCGTGCGATCTTAAAGTCTTAGGATCGTGTGAAAATCCCGATCGTCAGCCCGGTCGGACCGCGGGTGGCCCGTCGTATGGAAATCTGGATCGTCGGGCCGGTAGCCCGGATCGCCCAATTAACACGTTAGCGATTTGTATAAGTGTAGGGAAGTGCATCGCCCCCCTTAGCCCTGCATTTGCTAATGAATGAACAAGTGTTACGTTATCTTCCCACAGCTTGGTGTCGGTGCTGCTCGACAGAACACTTGGTGACATATATGATCTTGTGTTGAGTCAACATTTGGTCATACTCATGTGCATGAAGGAGGTTCGGTCTAGGAAAGAAGCTCGGCAGCTGGATGTATCACCCGAAAGTAGGAAGCATGGGCATGAGCGTCAAGCGCTCGTAAAACAACTCGCCTAACCCTAAGAACGGTACTGACCGGCATGCAACCGAACCGGTACTGATGCAGTGAGGAGTTGTAAGTCTTGAGAGCGAATCTTCAGATCCTGGTGGGCACGACGTCCTTTCTGCGTCGTTAAACAATTCCTGAGGTCCTTGCTGGCTGACCTTAAGCTGCTGGTTGCCCACCAGCCTGACAGGGTAGCTGTAGTGGCACTGTGGGGAGGGAATAACTCAGATAGGTCAAACTCCAATCTAGATTAGATACTTTCAAGTGTTGAGAGTGAGGTCTACATGGTGAGGAGGTGGAGGCTACTTACTTGTGCCTTAGCAACCATGGATGACTACACGATATTCGCCATGTTGACCCTGTCCGTGCTATGGGTTTCCCTTCTCCGATTCCTCTTTCCTCTAGGATTCCACTGAACGTGTGGCATGAGTGTAACCATGAGGTCTGGTGGGACTACACACCCATATACCTACACTCATGAGGTCTGGAGGGACTACACACCCATATACCGCAGATCAACAGGCAGAGATCGATAGGAATTTGGCTGAGAAGAAAAAAGAAGAGGAGAAAAAGAGAGGAGGAGGAAGTTAAAAAGAAACTGGAAGAGGAGAAAGAAAAGATGGAGAAAGAGATGAAGAAGAAAGAAGAACAGTTGAAGGAATTAGAATTTGAAGAAGAAGAAGAAGAAGAAAAAGGAGGAGGAGGAGGAGGAGGAGGAGGCTTGCTGAGAAGACCAGCCCAACCAGAAGGCGACGAGGTGGTGGAGAGCAGTCATGCTTGGGAGAGTTGAAACTGGGTGGAGAAATTTGGGTACCACACAAAGCCCAAAACATGGACTGACCCCCCGTAGACCATGCCGAGTTCCTGCAAGAGGCAAACTATTGCCCCTATTGGAAGGATCTGCAGGCCAGTAAGAGGTGGAAGAATAGGACCATATCCGGAGGTATAGATGGTTAGGACAATCTCTTAGTCATCTTCCAAGAAGGAGGTGTAGAGTCGTTATCATATCACCAGATGGATTATGGTTTAGATGAGGATCACAATAGCCAAGTAGCCCGGGGAGGGGACTAAGCGGCAATTGCAGCCCGTGGGGGAGAGCTACAAGGTAGAGGCCAAGGTAGAGGAGGCCAAGGACGAGGTGGAGGTTGCTGGACCCGCTGCTCAAGAGGGGTGGTGACAAAGGTAGCTACTACGTGGGAGGTAGGGGTTATGGTCCCTCGCAAGGTGGTAGAGGTTCTCCGTTCATGGGGGTAGTGATAGAGGTAAAAATTAGCGACCGTACCCAGTACATCCGTGGATAGCCAAAGGCAGCAAATGGGAATAGACAAGAAGGTCTGGGAGGACCGCTGCAAGGTCCGCCAATATTTCAAGTACGGCCCAGTTATAGAGGGGATGGTCCATACGTTGTTGAGATTCCTCCGCATTTGCACACTTATCCGGTGTTCCATGCCTCTAAGTTGCTCCCTTGTGTCAGCAATGAGCTATTTCCGTCTCGAAGATCTATGATTCCTCCTGATATAGATGGCAAATATCGCGTGGACCGCACCGTTGCAGAGGATGTTTATAGATCGGGGCGCAGGGGTAGACCCCAGCAACAATATAAAGTCCAATTTGCTTATCAAGAGCCTTCGGAAGATCGCTGGTTTACTAGAGATGAGCTGGTAGAGACAGCACCGCACATAGTGTCTTACAACGAGAGAGCTAGGAGAGGAATCAATGTAGTTGACAGATAAAGATTGTAACTTTCTCGGAAGACCTCGAAATTAGGCCGGTGAGAGTGAAAGGCATTCCATGATGCAGACCCCGAATTCGAATCTCAGGGTCAAGGTCTCAGGTCAAAAGAGGCCAAGTCTGGCAGTTCAGAAAGGTCACAGTCGGGTACCTTAGGAGTCAAGCCCAACAGGCACCCGGGTGAACAGTTGTGTCCCAGACGCAAGGGGAAAGTCATGTTCCACAGTCAAAAGTCGTGACTCGCTGACCCAAGCAGCAGCACACCAATGAAAACTCGGGAAAGTACCAGCCCTCAGCATTCTGAAGGAAACAGGCCGCGGACTGGTACCGGGACCAAGTCAAACCAAAGGGAGCAGAGGTTGGACGAGTTCAGGTTCAGTCCAAGTCAAATAAAGGACTGGCCAGCCACATTTCAGGGAGATTGCTCATTTGAGAGAAGTGTGGAAGTGCTGCTGCAGCGCTTGTGTGCTATCTGCGAGTAGCATGCGCGCGAGAGTCCTGCTGGGCAGCGCTGCGCTGAGAGGGAAAGCGGCCATAGCCGCATAGCTAGTCATAGGAGATAGAGTTGAGTAGCAGCGGATGTATTCAGAGTCAAGATCTTCAAGT